CCTTAAAGAGACTTACGGTGCTAATGGGACTTTGTTGACTTGCATACAGAGGATTCTGAAGGAGGGCCTCGAGTTAGACACAGGCGGAGAGTTCGAGATCGAAAGAGTGCATCGGCAGCTGACTTCCATGCCGAATTCAGATCAGCCCCCGAGACCGGTTCTGATCCGCTTCTTAAGGCAGTCTGCAAGAGATAAGGTGATCAACGTGGTGAAAGGGAAGCGGGGAGTTGTCTGGGAGGACTCTTGCCTTTCGTTGTTTCCAGATATGTCGAAAGAACTCTCTGCTCTGAGGAAGACTTTCACCCCGGCGAAACGGAGACTGCGGGAACTCGACGTGAGATATTCACTCACCTTTCCAGCAACACTACGTTTCAAGTGGAACGGGAAGAATGAGAGCTTCACTAACGCGGAGGCAGCTGAAATATTTATTAATGAACATTGTCACTGAGGAGCATGTGCAACAAATTAAGGTGGGCCTATGTATTTCATGAACATTTAAACTCAGTTATTTGGGAATGTAGATACTGAATGATAACTCCCAAGTGGCCAAGAAGACAGCGTGCACAGGAGCTGCGATTTTTTCTTTTTTGTTTCTGTTTTTTTCCCTCTTTCCCCATTCTTCATGGTGAAGAAAAGTGGATGCCTGGAAAAGAGGGATGGGGAGTTGTCGGACCGTGTTCTGTTTATTTTTGTATACGGTATTGTTCACATGTTTCAAAGTTCAGAGAGTTTGAAAGGTTAAGTTTTGAAAAACTAAAATTAGGAAGGTTTTGGTTAACGGCATTTTTTCATATACTGGGGTCTCAGAGTTCTACGTTGTTAATAGAGGATAAATTGTTAAAGGTGGGCACAGACTTAGGAGAATAGACAATAAGATAGCAATGAAAAAACACCTTTTTCTCTCACAGTCATAAAACGTATTCAAGGGTTAATTTTTTTCTTAGTATCAAGCATTTTGACTGCTCAAGTAGTTAAAAGCAACTTTTTACAGTGATACTCTTGTTGATCAATTAATGTGCCTGGTTTAATGTCCCTGTTAATGCCTATGATTTCTATCAGCTATTACAACAGTGTTGGTTATTAATTATTCATGTTTCAGAGAATTGTTCTCTTAGGTAGTTTTTGCAGCAGTGTATTTATAATGAATGTAATGAATGTTAACGTGGAAGTTTATCCAGGCACTTATTTTACTAACTGTGCTCATTGAAATCATAGATTCTAAGATTTCCTAATGTAGGCTACCAAGGAAAGGTCAAAAGGATTTGAACATCATGAAGTTAGGTCTGCAGTTTATACTACAAATAAACACATAAAAATACTTTTAATTTTACAATTTGGAGAAGATCTGGTGTATTAAAGCTGTATTAGATAAATTAATAAGCATGTTTTAAGCAAAATTAAAAAAGGCAAAAAGTGTAGACATCTAGAAAATTTGTTTTAAGCCATTTGATTAAAAAGTTACACATGGAAAAATAAGTGCAATTAGTTAGCTGTTGGAACCAGGAATGCCCTCTTTGGATAGTGTGTTAAATTTAACAAGTTCTGAGCATTTGTGATATCCAAGATCAAATCTGACAAACCTCAGTATCTGCAGCTGACAGTTTGGACTCTTCACTCCATCAGAGAGCAGCTTCACTCCTGAATCCTGCAGGTCATTGTTACTCAGATCCAGCTCTCTCAGGACACAGTTTGAGGATTGTAGAGCTGATGACACAATTTCACAATCCTGAGCAGTCAGATTACAGCCAGCAAGACTGAAAGAAAGAAAAACACACAATAATTAAATTATTAAACCCTTTCTGCAACTGGCATTTCAAAAACATCAACAGAACAATCCTTTTAGTTAAAATGTATTCTAAAACTAAGCAAATTATACTCAATATAAATTATTTGACACAACACCAGAAACTGTAATTCTATTTAGAAAATAATCTTTACTGAAAATCATGGATTAAACACTCACATGGCTTTTCTGCAGTTGATCACAGCTGGTATCAGTCTTCTTCTCCCCTCATCTGATGTGTTGTATTTCTTGAGGTCCAGCTCATCCAGCGGCTCCTCTGACATCTGAAGCATGTAGGTGATTGTTGAGCAGTGAGCAGCAGAGAGTTTCTTTTCTGGGTGTTTGTCTGATTTCACAAACTCCTGAATCTCTCTGGACAGAGTCTGATCTTTCACTTCCAGCAGACAGAGGAACAGATTGATGGATCTTTCAGTGGAGAGTCCATGTCCATCTTTGATCTTCTCTTTAATGTACTGTGTGGTTCTCCTGATGCTCTCTGAGCTGTTCTCTGTGTGTGTCAGTAGATCCTGTAAGAGTCTCTGATTGGACTCCAGTGAGACGCCCAGCAGGAACCGCAGGAACAGATCCAGGTGGCCATTCTCACTCTCAATAGCTTCATCTACTGCTATTTTAAGCAAATTTTTTACTGAAGCTAAATTCTTCAGTCCCTCCATAGTTTCTTTCACATGGTAATAAAACACATAGAAAGCAGCGAGAAACTCCTGTATGCTCAGATGAATGAAGCTGAAGATTTTCCCCTGATGAATCACAGATTCCTGCTTAAAGATCTCAGTGCAAATCCCAGAATACACTGAGGCGTCAGTCACATCTATGCCGCTCTCAATCAGGTCCTCCTCATAGAACATCATATTGCCCTTCATCAGCTGTTTGAAAGCCATTTCACCTGAGGCTTTAAAGATGTCATTGCAGTCAATTTGAGTGTCTTGTGAGTGTTGTGTTCTGGCTCTTTTCTCCATCTGTAAAACCTCATGTTCTTCATTCACGCCTTCTCTCCCTCCCTCTATGATGTAGAGCTGTGTGTAGATCCTGTTCAGGAGGTTTTCATTCTCTTGGAGTTTATTTCCCTCAAATAATCTCTCATACTTGTTCTTCATGCTGGTTTTGTGCTGGTCTTTGACTCTCTGCAGGTCTTCAGTCTCCAGTGTGTGTGTCTGCAGGACTGCTTCAGTTTTGTCCTGCCTGATGTGGGTATGATAGTGGGATTTAGAGGATGGCACAGATATGCTCAGCTCATGTATTTCTCCCTTGCTGAAACTAAAAAGAAACAAAAATAAAAAAAAGACAAAAACTGTTGGAGACTTTCAGAAATACATAGGGTACTAGGTATGATTTTATCACCCTTTTTTTGTGAAGTGCACATGTTGCATATTTTGAAGTACATTTAGTGTTATTTCAGTGGCTTAGGTGATTATCATGTGAGGTGTAAAATAGCAAATGTCTGTTTATACTAACAATGAATCAGAGGTCACTGGTCCATCACTGAATTCAGGGGGACGTTTCCTTGAACTGTTACTCTCCACAGACACACCACTAGATTCTGGTGACTCTGATCGCTGTCTCTTCCTCCCGCTGATGCCGACAAAGGACAAACAAAACAGAATTTTAGAGCACTAGCTATACTGTGTAACTTGACTGCACCATAGATTTACAATTATTTAGCAGGTTTTTTTCTTTTTATCCAAGGCCATTTACTTATAAGGAATATGACAAGCAGTTCATCCAATGGAGACAGTAACATGAGAATTACTGCAATACAAAATGACATGCTAGAAAAGAGATGAAGGTAAGAAACACACACACACACACTTCACCAGTGAGGAACAGTTACAGTGAAAGTTCGGGAAAGTGATTTTGTGCTTCTCTGTGATGGTATCACTACTCACCCACTGCAGGCTTCAGGAATAAACTGTAAATCACTTCGAATAAAAGCATCTGTCAGTGCTAAAATAGCTAGTGTCTTACCTGGGATCAGAGGTCACTGTTGCATCACTGCATTTAGGAGGTTCTGTCGCCATGGATTGATCACTCTTCATAGACACACAGCTTGATCCAGGAGATGAAGAACTCATTTTAGAGGCAGAGTCTTCCTTTTCTCTCTCATTATGGAGACTCATTTTAGTGTTCCCTTACTCCCATTTGCCAAAAGAGTGTGGAAAGACTGATCTCAGACCTTTTATGTGGAAACACTGAGTTAAATTATGTAGTACAAAACTAATACAATACAGCTACAACAAAGTACAGTTTTAATCTGGATGACAAAGCAATCTATTTACCTTCCAATTATTATTATTATAACATACAAATATAGCTAAATGTGAAGTCAAAAAAGTTGGTTCTTTAAAAGTGATTTACTTATAATAATAGATCTATTCAGAATAGGGGTGTGCAATGTCACGATTTTTGTTTGTGAATGATTAAAATGTCTCCACATTCTGCTTTTGAAGAAATATTGTAGTATCGTGCAACAGTGCATTCTATCAGCTGCATTTCTGGGTCCTCTGTACATCGCGACGTACATTCACATCACATGTTAATTCATAGGTAGGGTTACACTCATGTGACATTGCAGTTATTCACAATCATGAAAGTTTATCATCTGCATGCATTTTAAAGCATTGCCGAATGCCAGTTAACATTTTATTTGCAGGCTGTTCTGACAAGCTTTTCTGAGCGCATACACCCGAAGTGCGGACACACTTAAAGCCTGTCAAACAGTGTGTGAATGCTAAATAAAGTTATCTTTCGTGTCTTATTGCGATTAAACGGTCAAATACACACAAGGTTTGTAAACACAGTCGGTTATGTCTAAACAGTTGACGTAAAAAGTTGAGAGAAAACCAGATGCATGTCTGTATATTAGATCCTTGCATGAGGTCTTAGAGTGACAGCAGTGTAATAAACTTGCTGCCACTTGTCATTAATGTTGATCAAACAACAAAATATAAAGAGAAAATCACTTACAGAAGTGTGTCTATGTAGTGTTTTATTTTTACATTTCTTTATTCAATTTCTTACTTGAAAACTATCATTTTAAATACACCAACTGTAAAAAGGCAAAGTTTATTTCAATGATATATTATATTGTATCTGTATTGTGCATATTTGTTCTTATTTTTTAATAACAAAGATAAAATAATGAAATAAAGATTTTCATCTTCGCTTACCCTTACTTTGGCCTAAATGGACTGTTATTCTTTTTTCTTTTATATTGTGTTACCTTGTAAGGCTACATTTTTAAAATAGGGAAAATAGTTTGGCTATACTGCTCAGTCACTTGCAAAATAATAAAATCAACATGAAAAAATCGTGATTTGTGATTTTCCTGGAAAAGAAATTGTGATTATTCAGAACCATATCCTCCTGATAAACACATTTATGTTGAAATGGTTATTTTGTTTTGGAATCAGGGTTCTTTATTTCTGCCTTTTTGCTTTTTTAAATCTGTAACTGTCAAAACATACTTTCAAATCTCATTTTCTTGGACTAAATCATTACTACACAGTCACAGGCTATCAACAATCTCAATACAGGAAGACTTGATATTCTTCTTAATATCTCTATAGACTTTTACTATCTTGTAATAAACTATAACTAGTTTCTTACCAATTTCCTTTTTCTTTTCAGTGTTTTTATAAGAAAACATATTTTATTATTATTATTATATGGACACCCTTCTCCCCTCTTTTTCAACAAAAAGTAAACAACTGAAAAATTTAATTCATGATCCATGTTTTTAGAATTTCTAATTATTTGGTTTATGCATAAACATTCCGTCACAAAAAAAAAAAAAAAAAAAAAAAAAAAAAACCTTACAGCTATATCTTGTGATTTAAACTTTCCTTATAAAATTGTGAAAGACACTATGCATTAGTAATAGTTTATTCACCCATTATAAACATGATTGATTTTACATAAATAGAAACAAACATACTTTTAACTCAATCGGCCTTTGTCACAGTCTGCTTGTCATCACATCTGGCTCCAATTAGTAGCGTAAAATAATTTTGATCTAATTATTTCACGCAAGTGCATGAAAAAAAAAATGTGAACAACATTATTGTTTAATACAAGTTTCCCCCAAACCTTTAAATCAATCCCCTAAAAACAGACCGTAGTCCTAATTAATATTTGAATCTTTGTCTAATTCTAATGCTCTTTAATGAGATATTTTGTTTGTATTGTATCCTTGCAGTTCTCTAATAAAATAAGGTGCTCAAACTCTGAAGTATTCCACACACATATACAGACACTGTCACATGACAAAACCATCATCTGCAGAACGAGACTGCCACTCAATCACATCAGAGTACACACAGTAATGGATTGTGAAGACATCATAGAGGATTGGAACTTCATTACATTGATTTTATGTTTCTATCGTTTAGTATTTATTCATTTTAAATAATTAGTTAATGTTTATAATTTATCAAGCTTGCAGTCTTTTGTCATTATGTAAAACGTCTCGGGTTACTTATGTAACCATGGTTCCCTGAGTAGGGAACGAGACACTGCGTCCTCTAGGGGTCGCTATGGGGAACGCCTCGTTGGGAAGCAGATGGCTGCCCCTATTTCCTCGAAAAGAGAGACAAACGAGAGCGGAGGTTTTTTTCCGGAAAAAACGCTCGCAGTGCACGCCGATTGCCCCCTCGGAGACATCACGTGCGTGCTCTTTGCCCAAACAAAACAACGCATAGATCGTGTGTGTCATCAGATGTTAAACAACGTCAACATGGATGCACACATCCTTAAATGCTTTGCTAGTGCTCGCCATAATGAGATAAATAGAGATCGCTCTTACCACAGAAATGCACGCTTCAAACAAAACAGTCAATGAAGACGAAGAAGAGAATGATGTGTAGCTCCCGGCGCCTATTTATACTATAGTCGCACCGGTAGTGACTTCATGGCTGTCGCCGGCCAACGAGTTGGTGTTTTTTCAATGTATGCTTCAGACACGGGTCACGACGAGGCGTTCCCCCATAGCGACCCCTAGAGGACGCAGTTCGAAGTTCCCATGAAAGGGAACCCTATTATAGGCTATATGACAGAAACAGGTAGAGGGATTTAAAATATATATTTATATTTTATTAATAAAATGAACATTAAATGCTCTTTATAACACAATTAATGTTTCATACAGAAATGTGAAGAACCCTAATCTTGTGCTCAATACAGCACAACTGCAATTTAGTTATTTCTTTTAACATTGTGACACGTTTTCCAAGTATTTTGTTATACTCAGGTCTACCACTGCCTTACTATTCATTCAATTGTTAATGTTTGCTATACAGCAGTGTGTGAATGCAGGAAACAGACAGGTTGAAATAAATGTAACAGCCCTATATTTGTGATAAGTTGCATGTATTTTTGAAACTGAATTTACATTAGTCTTTAGTACTTTGTGAAGTTTAACAGTTTAGTTCAGAGGTCCCCAACCACCATGTGACACTCTGTTATTTATTGCGCGTTAATGATTGTTAAGGTTGTCTTTTTGATCATATTATTACCTGTAACAATTGACTTATATTAAACTTTGAACTTTTATTAACAATATGAATAAGGAAAATATGTTTTACCCGCATTGTAACACAAATAAATAAACGGTCTTTGGATTTCCCCTTTCTTTAAAACGATCATAGTTTGTGGTTCATTATTAGCCTATTAATTAAAACACATCAGCCATAAAATAGTACAATGGCAAATTC